ATAAAATAAAACCGTGCATCTTTAACTTACCAGAATGAAAATGCAGGGAACACACTCTCATTGACATCGGGATATTGTGGAAAGTTATGTTTGGTCGTATTACAGCTCCAAGTTAGCTGACGACTCTTTATCTTTGACACTTGGTCTCCGTGGTTGCGCCTCCAGGCAGGAAAGCGGTGGAAAGTTAACCCATTTTCTATGTTTTTCTCATGGCGATCATGTGTTGCGCTGTTACAGCCCACAATACAGCAATGATTTACCATGATTGAAATCAAGTTAAGGTGAAATTAATCAAATTAAAACACGTCTGAGAGGGAGTACAGTACGCGGTAGTCGTAGGCAGTAGTCTGAGCAGCGGTAAAGGAGGCCATCAACATGGTGGCCACACAGAGTCATTACGTCATGACGCCCAAGCCCTATTGGTGCACAGCTATTTCATGAAAATGTGTTCTACTGTTAAATAGAACAATAACTTACTGATGGTGTCCTTATAACAATATAAAAACAGTCATAGCTCTGATTACACATGGATATTGGCTCCGTTTGTGTTTTTATGTGCATTCAGAAGCAGATTATATAAACTGTGGTCAGTCTGTTATCTTCATTTGACTGTGGATAAATGGAGCATTATGAGCTTTTTGGCTCTCATATTTACAGAAAATGATGGAAAACAAGTTGACAAAAGTTGTAAAAAAAAAAAAAAGCAGCTGCATAAAAAAAAAATCAGCTTTATGGTGGCGTCATGGAAAGCTGCATGTTGCATTCTGTCCCCAAATGATTCAGATTTTTTACCAGTCACTAGTGTTTTCAGTATGGGTTGTCTTTAGGTCATGAGTGCTGTTTCTGTATATAAAGTCTCACTTCACATTCTCTTGTAATTTATGTAAATATAAATGAAAATGCCAGAATGCAAAGCAAAAGCATGAGTGGAGCGTCACAGGTAATCACTCTGAGCTGCAGAGTGTGATTGAACCTGATTAAACCTCCTCATGGTGTGTGTGTGTGCACGTCGTGAGGGAAATAGAGGCCCAGTGTTCTCTGGTCCCAGCTTTAAATAAGGGGTCTTTATCTTACCGTGTGTGGAGTGCTAGTGTGAACGCACTAAAGGGTTGGAGCTTTTTCCTCCATTTAGTTGTGGCCCACGCGGCTCGCACCAGATGTGGTGACCGCTAACCTGCCCGGCTTTTAACCGTCACGCCTGATTGGGGGCCTGAGGCCGAGCTGGCACACTGTCAGACACACACACTCACGGCACACGTCGTTACACAGACACTTGTTCCTGCTCACAGCCATTTCTAATTTAGATTTAATCTCTCCCCCCCAAGTGTTTATTAAGTTCTCCCTCTTTAAATTTTCACTGTTTGCAGTGGAAGGGTTAGCTTTATTCTTTCCAATGGTCTGTAGTAGTAACGATTTAACTATAGGAGCAACATTTGTTCTGGAGAATTTGCGTGGATGTTTTTTTTTATTTTTTTTTTATTTACATTTTCGACTGTTTAGAGCCAAACATAATATTCAGTTAATTAAAAAAACTAAAAATACAACAAAACAAATGAAACTAATTATTGAAAGCGAAAATTTAAAAAGTAGCACTTTTGTCCCAAAATCCAGTGTCCAAATATATATTAACAAAGCTAAAATTTCATCTAATAACAATGCAGTTACTTGATTCAGTATAGTATCCACCTGCATCTGCACTGTGTTTATTTTATAAAATGTGTTAATTAATATAGAGCACTAAGCCAGTTTAAAGTTAACTGGAAATAAACAGAAGTTGTCGCATCATCAACGCTTATCTAGCAGCAGAGCTTTTGCTGTTTCATGCTATGCAACAACACAGGCACTCATAATACGGTTAGGCCTCACTCTGGCAATGTTTTAATGGTAAATAATGCATTTTATGTAATGATAGTAAAATAAAAAAAGTCCAACATATTTATCCGGGTTCAAGAAAATGTAGCATTCAATGTAAATGTGTCATATTTTGCTATGTCAATAAACTTTTCTGAGGAAGGAAGAATGTAATGTAAATCCCTTTATTGTCCCACAATGGTGAAATTCACTCTCTGCATTTAACCCATCCCTTTGGGGAGCAGTGGGCTGCCATTGTGCGGTGCCCGGGGGGTAGTCTGGGATTAAGGCTCTTGCTCAGGAACCCAGAGTTGAGGCTGTGGGGATCAAACCGGGTACTTGCAACCTTCTCAGAGCACAAGTGCACTAATTACTAGGCCAATACTGCCCTATAAAGAAGGGGAGAAGGTAACATGAGAGAACATGACTGATTTGGGTTCTGAGAAATGGGAAAAATATGAAGGAGGAATTTGGTGAGTGACTACAGGGAATAGCGAGATGAATCAGCCAGCCCTATCAGAGATGCAGAAGCTCAACTGACTTTCATTAATAGTTTCCGCACATTATGCTCAATCTGGGGAGTCGGCTGCATACTTGAAGAGTTAACGTGCAAAGATGTAGTTTATAGTGAAAACTGAAAAGTGTTACAAGCTGCTTGTGTAAGAGATGTCAAAATGACAAAATCTATTTACTGAACTCATTTAATGCAAATCTAAGTGAAGCTTAGTGTAAACTATACCGTATTATTCTATGTGATACAAATCTATTGCACTTGGCCAATGCTTTCATGGGCATGTCTTTGAAAAAACATTTTATTCTTCATGCAACGTTTCCCTTATGTACATAATATTCTGGTGGAATCTAGCAGTGATTGTAAGGCACAAACCATGGGTGGATTTAGGAAATTTGGGGCCCTAAGCAAAAACAGGCATGGGGCCCTTTGAAATGCAAAGACAACAGATAGAGAACATTTTTATAGATTAAACATACATTTTTTGTTCCACTGTCCCTCTCTTCTTATCCCTTTTCTTACTGTTTTCCTCTGTATGTTTTGTTTTGTCCCTTTTTCTTTTCGTGTTGGCAATTAGCTCAGCTCAAAAGGAATGAATTTTTGATTTTTTTCCAATCACTAATCTCACTTAGCTGATTACTCTTTCCTGTGTTTCCAAAAAGGCGAAGACAAAAGTAAATAACCCATTCTTCTTTTCCCTGTAGACAGGCCATGATCTGCTTATCTGTTCTCCATTTTTCATTTGCATGAAATTATAGCTGCATGAATCATGACAGCAGACAAGAGAGAGGAAAGCAGGAGGTGGGGTTACAAATCTACTTGCTCTGGAGAGCAGCGATCAGCGCTTTTATATGTTGTCGCTAAAGTCTCCAGTAGCAGAAAAAAGTAACTAAATTTGTCGCTAAGCTTTTTTTTTTGTAATAAAAGAGCCAGAGGGGTCTTAAAAGTCGATAGATAGAAAAGCGCTAAGTTGGCAACAATGCTCTTCGTTTTGTTTTCAAATGTTTTGCTTTTGTTTGTTTGGACCTTTCCGCACATGCACAACAAATTGACTGATCCAATGTGGTGGGTCCTGAGACACAATATTCTAAGCATTCTGATGGCATTTTAACGAAAACTTAATTAATGTGCACAAATAAGTAATAGCTGTATTACCCATACTTGTAAAAGAAGTTTTATGGGGCTCCCAGGAACTTTGGGCCCTAGTCAACTGCCTAGTTTGTCCTAATGGTAAATCCCCCTCTGGCAGAAACCAAAAGTTGGCAACATCTAACTACAAGTAGAGTAGAAGTAAAAAAACAGTTGTTTCCAACTTTTTCAATGCCTGTCATCCATGAGTGAAAATGATTTCTTTCCTAAAATTGTTTGCAATCTGTTGATGGTGGTGATATTTACTAGCCATCTTTATGCATAGTTTAAGAAAAAAAAATTGTGCACAATGTGGAAAATTCAGACTGAGCAGTTTGACATTTGGGGTCTGGATGCTCTAATGGGTCGAGCATAAATCAACCTTAAATCATGCAATCATGCATCCATATCAAAGAGCAGGGCCTCACTCATTTCAGCCTACCAGTGACGGCCTTGTTTAGCAGAGCTGCTTTTAGATAACTCTGTAATTTAACTGTAATGTTACTACATTTTCTACTTCCTGCATCATGATCCAAAAAAGGTTTGTTCTTATTCATTCTATCGTGATTTCACAACTCTGAGGATATAAAGAGAAACCTTACTACCGGTACTTTAAGATAGGTCTTATCATTGATCTTGAAAACCTCTTTTTTTTTTTTCTTTCTCCCCCCCAGATCTCCTTTGACTTGGCCGAATATACAGCGAACGTGGACGGCGTGGGCACATTGCGTCTCCTGGATGCCATCAAGACATGTGGTCTGACCAGCAGTGTCAAGTTCTACCAGGCCTCCACCAGTGAGCTGTACGGCAAAGTCCAGGAGATCCCACAGAAGGAAACCACACCATTTTACCCACGATCGCCTTACGGTAAAACTAATGCTGCAGATTCCCAAGTTAGCAAGCATGATGTAGCTTCTCTGTTTACCTTTGTCAGGGACTTACACGTGATCAGCTAAGCACAAACAAATTACATTATAACTCTACTGCGCTTTATGTTAGTGCATTTATGAATACATGTCTTTAGGAATGTGTACAAGTGAAAAGAGGAGCGCTTTAGAGCTCTAACTCCCTTTAAGCTCCCTTCACACCCTGAGGCCAAACGTTTGATTGAAGAGTGGAGTGGTTCTCTTTTTAACAAAGACACCTTTATATCCACAGCAGTCAGCACTCACTTTCAGCTTCCACACACACACACACGTAGAAACATAGGCTGCACACGTGTGGTAGCGATCAGGTTTAATGTTCTCTGTTGTCTCAGAGCTCCACCGTCCGACACTTTCCCCATCTGTCAGCACTCAACCTGAAGCTGAATAGGAGCCGCGTACCCGGCTGCTCCTCTATTAATTAGACTGGGAAAGGTAGAGGCGGAGGTTGCCATGGTAAACTCCCTTCACCTCTAGTGTACTTCTTGACCTATGGCTTAATCAACATGCACCTCCCTTCATTGGCTGTGGTATTTGACTCATTACATGAAGAGGAGGATAAGGCGGACTTTGGTTTGAGATGGAGGGGTCTCACATTCATCCATCTGTCTTGGTTACAAGAAAGGACTAACAAAGGTTCCAGCTTTACCAAAGATGTGGTTTTATTGTCCTGGAATCAGGTCGTGCTGGAGGTTTCTTCCTGTTAAAGGGGAGTTTTCCTTTTCACAGTTACTACATACATGCTCAGTGTGTCTGTTTGCTGAGAGAATCAGCAACTCAGTGTAAGCAGCTGTCCATTCTCATTTTAGGCTCATCCAACTCCGATTATGCTCTCAGTCACTTACTCGGTCACTCACTGACGCGTCGGTCACTAACTAACTCAGGCAAACACTTGATCACTCTCTCTGTCACTCACTCTGGCTGTGTCAGAAAGAGAGCTCTCCTCACAAAGCATCATGGGATTTGCTGTCACAGCGGCCAGCTGTCGTCTGCGGCTGTCGCTGCCCAACAGCGGCAACAAATAACAAAGATGCCGCAAACACCATGCAGGTAGGCGGAGTTACATGACCCACTGGGAGCAAAACGTAGTGATCATCAGTCCAAACGGTCAGCCTCTGTCACTCACTCACTCACTCACTCACTCACTCACTCACTCACTCACTCACTCACTCACTCACTCACTCACTCACTCACTCACTCACTCAGACACTCACTCACTCAGACACTCACTCACTC